GAACTTTTCAGTCTGTGCAAGAGGGTGGAAGAAACCCCTCTACAGGTCTGTACAGGTCTGTCCACAGCTCCAAGTTACCTCAATTTGAGCCATGGTTACAGTTATCCTTCCCCTCAGGTAATAATAATTTCATCCTGCAACACGTGGAATTTGCTTGTGATTTTCTCTGTGAATAAACGTCTAATTTTACTTCACTGTTGTGATTTCTGACTGTTTGTACATGTGAGACTTTAGAAATAAAGTCCTGTCCTGGCCATCAAATCAACTAATTAGTAGGAAATTTGACAAAAGCAATTCATTGCTTCACAGGAAAGGAGTTGCCTTTCTTTTCATGGCACCCTCTTATAAATTTTCTGTTGACGAGGCAGAATCGGGCCTCATTTAGATCCATGTTGTCATGTTTCACTGTTAGCAAAGGTCAGGAGTTCAGAGGAGCATCAAGCCTCCTTTTCATCTATTTTTAAAGTGAACTAAAAGCTTGTTTTAAAGCTGCTGCTGCTGATGTGCAGTTTGTCCAAGCTTCATTTTGGAAGGAGAAGAATTAACATTAACTAACTGATTAAACATTCAAAGAGATTATTTGTGTAGATAAGAGAGTTTTCGCAGGGGGGCATGTAGTCCTGGAGCGTCCAGGTGTGTGTGCAAATTCATCCCAAGCTCTGACCGTGCAATTCTCAGAGAAACTGCAAAAAAGATGTTTTGTCACAATGCACAAGACCACATTTGGAAAAAACACACACAGCAAGTCAGTGCAATCACCTCATACCAACTCTCACTTGTGAATGAGGGGTGATGATTTGGGCTTGTTTTGCAGCCACATGATCCGGGCACCTTGCAGTCATTGAACTTCTGTGTAATCTGAGCCAATCTGCCTGACAGTTAAAACTTGGCTGAAGTCGGGTCATGCAACAGAACAACCATCCCAAAACATTTGGCACAAGTTATGTGATTATTTGTAAATCATTATCTCATCAGAAATCAGGTCAGGCTGTCTCCTAATGATGAAACTCATTGGGAGGCAGCTTTTTAGGCGCTAGCACTCTGAACTTTTATTTCTAACACAGCTTACATTTTTTTGCATTCTTCAGATTGCATAATAGCATTGCCAAAGCCATGCACATACAAACACCCACATAAATGGATATAACCTTTAGTTTATATCCCTGTGACACCACAAAGAGAAATTTCTTTGTTTTATTAAACTAAGGACTCCAGAGTCAGTTTATGAGAAACTTCTGCTGCTACTGATGTGCTCTTCTTGCCTCTCTGTCAGGTCTGAGCGCCGGCTCTCCGGCCACCCCTCTGAAGAACAACCAGAAAAAAGAAGATGATGAGGCAGATGCTTCTTTTCGTATTTCCAAACCACTGACACGATCAAAGACAGGTAAAATGTTAACTTTAATACTAGATCAATGTTGCTACACACTGGCAATATTAAAATATTAAACTTCTACCTATATTTTTTTAGTATTTATAAATTTACTACTAATAATCTACTCTAGAAAGATCCGAGTTCTGTGTAACATTAACATATATGACTGATTATTCTGGCCCCTCATTTTCCTGGCAAACTGATTTCTTTTAAAGCAAAAATAAATAAATAAAATAAAATAAAAAAACAAGTACAAATACTACTTGATCTTAGTGACGAGCCCACAAAATGATGTGAATAAAGCATTTGGTATTAACTGCATTATTAAATTCATGTGTAACACTTTGGATTCAGAATTTTATTTGCTGGTCAACCAGCATGTTTTCACATCTAAACATACATCATAAATGCACAGACGACTAGTATAAAAAGTCCAACTGTCAAGTGTTTAAAAACCTCCCTCATCAATTTTCGTATTCAAGATTACTTCCTTGCAAACAAGCAAAAAACCAGTGAAATCGGTCCAGTTTCCTCTAGTTTTTTTTAAAGGACACACTCACAAGGACACACTCACAATATGTCACAGTTTCGGCTAGTACATCTTTGGTAATCACCTTGTTGGTGCAAAAATACTAATACAAAGAACAAGGAATAAAAACAGAAAAGTACAAACAAAGAATACTTGATTGAAGGACAGCTATGCCAAGTAGAATACCAGATATACAAGTTTTCCTCAATGGAAAACAGCAACTTGATGTCATGTGAGGTGATGAAGCAATAGATATCTTTAGAATTTATCTGTTGCTCAAAGTTCCCCTGGGTTTTCACCCAGATCCTTCTAAGTTGAACTGGTAAGCACCTTATACTTTAGACGATCGTGGCTCAAGGGTTGGGTGTTCGTCTTGTAATTAGAAGGTTGCCGGTTCGAGCCCCGGCTCGGACAGTCTCCGTCGTTGTGTCCTTGGGCAAGACACTTCACCT